GCGTGAGGCTTTTCGTCGATGATAAACACAAGATCTGAAGGTATAACACCTCGCTGTTCATTTCCTTTCTCAGGGAAAGTGATTTTTGTTCCTTTCTTCCACCCTGGCTTGATTTCTATGGTAAGAATTTCCTCCACTGTGGAGGGTCTCCTGTACAAGAGCAAAACATTAAGAAAAAAATAGCACCGCACACCAAGACAGAAAAATGATTCAAGCACGGATAGGAGTTTTGAGGAACAAAATTTTCTAAACACTTCCAACACGTCTCAATCATCAGAATTTCTTCAAAAAAATATCATGATAATCCCTGTTAGAAACTCAAGAGTCACCTACATGCATCAAGATGATGCACCAATAAGTGCATGCAATTATCAATAATGTCATAATCCACAGCTATAAAGTTACTTCCTCCAAGTTAGATGTCCTTTCTCATTTAAAAATATTAATATACAAATGGTTTAGCTTGAAAACAAGAGGAAGGAAATGTGTAACATTTGAACAATGATTTCTGTGCCTACTGACATTATGAATATCAAACACAACAATCAAGATTCTTCGGCAGCCCATTCAAAGGCTTTGTCTGCAAATCCCAGATGCAAGCATATTTGGTACAATTCCATATAAAGCAATAAATTTATTGTAATATGAAACTCAACCCAAAGAAAGCAGGAGTTTGAAGACTCCAATGCAACCTCTAAAATATGTCCACTCCCTGATTTTTGATAAATATATCCAATATCTCAATCCTAATTGCTTGATTCATCTAGAAACATGACACCTAAAATAAGAACTAGAAAATTTCAGTCAGTTTTGACTTCTTGTCTACAATAAAAATTAAGGATGCATTGGCATATATGTACAAGAAGTAAACTACACTAGCAGACCTGAAAAAAAAGATCAGGGAGGACCACCATTTCCCTACTTGAGCTGAGATGCAGGAATATTAGGATCTCCAAAGAGAACTGGTATTTCTATGATTTTTAAGTTTTCCCCAAAATTTTATTCTATTGTTGTTACTTTGCTTCCCTATTAACATTGGGTTTTCCTACTTTAGAGAGGTTTCCTATTTGAATGTGTAAGAAGGTCCATAACTTACCAGAAGTTATGGATTGTATTTCTGTTCCATTTTATTAGTTGCACACTCTATAAATATGCAAATCCTGTGTAAGCATAAAATATCAAATAATATGAATTCTAATATTTTCTTAGAGAAACAAAAACCTCTCTGAAGACAGCTTAGGGTGTATTTTTCTTCTATCTTTTTCTCAATCATCTAGTTCTCTTTATTGAACTTAACAGCTCACCCTTGGCTATCCTACATCATGACAGCCTAAGTTCCCATGCTAACTGTATAAAACTCCAACAGAAATAAATACTATATTTATCTGATGTTTCAATCATAAAGTTAAAAAATTTAAAAACAATGTTCCAGGGTAAGAAAATTACTAAACTGCCAGAGATTTTTTTTTTTTTTTTTGAAATAACTAAACTGCAAGAGATTATCGGGACCAATTATAAGAAAAGGCAACATTAAGGAAAAGAGAATGCAGGAGGAAAAGTTGTATATCTTGGGGTCTGATGGTCCTTACATTTTTTAGTTTACTGAAAATACATGAACAACTGACATGCCATCATAAGTTTGGATTGAAGTGAGGACACCAAGCAGTCAGGTTACTGCAGGTATATCTTTCAATGGTTAAGTCCCATGGAGACGGTGTTGCCATACATCTCTGTTATGATAAATCTTCAGAAATTTTTCAGTGTTTTTGACTTTTCCTACCTTCACCTATCTTGAAGTAAATTAAGGCTCGTTAAGAGAGAACTCTACAATCTCTTGAGTAAATATGTGCTCAACACCTTTAATAATCCCCTTCCATACCTTTCATAGATTAGAAATGGGAACTTATACAGCAGAAATTACAGAAAGAGTTTCTATTCTGGGTGCAGAAAACTGTTACTGGCAAAACTGTCCAGAAACTGCTAAAACTTGTCTACAAAAATTTCTACACCGCTTCTGAATAACTTCCACAACTGCCTAATCCTATCTTCAGGGACTTGGTCAACTCTAGCAACTAATCGACAAAATTTATTCCCGTATGTACAGCCCACATAAAACCTACTAAATATTCATAAACACATAAAAACGCCCCTAAATACTTGAAATAGAAATAAATAATTCTGAATTATTATTATTATTATTATTCTTTTGGTGTTAAGGATCCCTAACAATATCT